GGAGAGAGAGAGAGAGAAAGAGTGGTGGTAGAAGGCATTGACCAGGAGCGGCAGACGAACGGGCGCCGCCGATGGCCACCCTTGTCGTCGTCCACCCCCTCACTTATTCGAAACTGGAACAACCTGGAATGCTCGCACGAAACGTACGGCCGCTCGGCACGAGATATCGTTCCGCCTCGCTGTGGCCATTCATAAAGCGGCCTTAAACACCAGTCTTAACCACCCCGCGAAACGGGCCGTGATTTATGGGCCGCAGCCACGGGTTTCGCCGGATTCCACTAAAAATTTCACGACTCGCGAAATTCAGAGAACGTGAAATATCTCGCGGCTGTGGACCGCCCTGATGCGGTCACCCGGATTAACCGCGACTCTTGCGTTACTCCAAAACGCGATTCTGTTCTCCTCTGGCGCACAAGATAGTTTTGAACAGACTATATGTGCCCAGATAGAACAAATTTTAACTAAAACATTTTACCGAACAATTTTCTAACATTCTTCTGGGACGTATAATTATAACTTCCGAGAAGCATTAAGTGTTTATTGCGTTAAATAAAGCTACTGAAAAGTCGAATATAAATCAGCGAAAAATACGAATGTGGAAAGGTATGAATTTTTACGAGTTTAATCTTCGCGATTGTTTATCTTGATAAATGAAATAAATATGAAACATCATTCGCGATAACTCCGTGCAATATTTTATATCTGGTACAGAGATTAAAAAAGATTCGAGCTTGTTTTAAACTTTAGAGTGAAAAATCAATTTTTATAAACCCGTTGGGACATCCATCCGATAATCCATGCATTCACGATCAGACAGTGCATTTCGCGCGAGCATTTTCGCCAATTTCCGCAACACTCGTGCGATTAACATCAAGAGGAGGTCGCTCACATGCACGAAGATGCGCGGGCTTAACTGTAAGGAGTCTTCGAGCACGTACACGCGAATCTTGGAGGATCGTTTCCACCCTCGGCGTCTGGGTAAACACCGCCACCGCGTCGTTACCGGCTGCAATCTCGGTCGTACTCGCGAAAATCTGAGCGCGGGACTCGATATCACCTGGCGGTGGAAAATCGCGAACCGCAGGGAGGGCTTATAAACGGTAAACCTAAGCGAGATAGACCGCGCGATATCCAGCTCTACAATACCCGGCACGCGGGTTTCACGACGGATTCTATTCGAATCTTCCTGGTGCGCGATAACGCGGAAGGGAGGAGCGTGATGATAATCAAGGTGAAATTGTCGGGAACGGTACGTACAAAGGGCAGTTTGGTTCGAAGCGCAGACAAAGGGAAATATTCGATGATCGTCGAGCAATTAATTAAAGCGATTGGAATTTCATCTAATGCGTATTTCATTTTACGATTGTGCTGATGATTTTTTCTCACTTCATTTTCCGCGGCTGGAGGAATTGCTTTTGTCACGGGCAAATCTAGAGCAAAAACTCAATAATCATCGAGAGGCAAATTTAATTGGATAGATATTCGTTTAATCTAACTTAAAAAGTTATTCAGTGAAGAGCTGCGATAATTAATTTTTCATAAACGCACAGGAGAACATCAGTAAATTAAAATATATAAAAATAGATATTTGGTAATATTTCAAAGAGTTTGGTTTAAAAGCAAAAATGTTTGCTGATATAATTATATTTTATAAATATATATCAAGTATTATAATCATGATTCAATGCTTCCTTTCTCTTCTATTAACATATTTAAGCATTGCATAATGGGATATAAATTAAATCCCGAATGAGTACATAAAATGACATTTTGCATTTTGGTGCTCATAAATCGTATTCACCTATCACCTCGGGGGTGAATTAATGAAAATTACATTGCACTCATCGAAGTACACATAAAGTACATTATGTGGCATAATGATTTAATATGATGTTAATTATTCAGAAATATTGTCCCGCGTTTACTCTTCACGCTCGTCCTACCTGGCTTAAAATTTTAATTGCGTTTTTACAGCTGCCTTGTCGGACTAATTTACTCTGAACTCGTGCTCGTCAATTATTCGTAAAGTAAAAATTACTATACGTTAATTTAGCCGCTATTACTATTCAGTATGAAACAATTTATCTAATAACTTTACGCGTACGCGCGCGTTTAATTCACTGTGTTTTTAATCTCAATTTTATAATAGCATTTCTTTAATAAATACGTACTTG